AGCCTCCCAAAAGTGCTGGGATTACAGGCGTGAGCCACCATGCCCGGCCAAGCTCAGTATTTTGAGAGTAGCCTGGGCAACACAGACCCTGGCTCTACAAGCAACAAACAAAAAATTAGCTGAGTGTGGTGGTGCACGCCTGTAGTCCCAGCTACTTGGGAGGCTGACATGGGAGGATCACTTGCGTCCAGGAGGTTGAAGCTGCAGTGAGCTGAGATAGTGCCATTGCACTCCAGCCTGGATGACAGAGTGAGACCCTGTCTCAGGGGAAAAAAAAAAAATCAGGGGAAAAAGCTAAACAAACTTTCCATGGGGGGATCGAATTTGTACAAGCTGAAGGTGATGGGCTTCCATTATTCCTGTAGGCTGAAAGGACTCTCCTGAAAACCATCTACACAGAAAAGGGAAGAGGTATGAACCCTTGCTGAGTGTTTGTACATGTTTGTAAAAGGCCTTTTAAATGTGTATTTAGGGTTTTATTTTCTCATCCTGATTCATGAGCCTCACATATGCAACATTTAAAAAATTATTGATACATAAGATTTGTGTTTATGAGGTACATGTGATGCTTTGTTACATGCCTAGAATATACAATGATGATGCCAGGGTGTTTGGTGTGTCTATCACCTAAGCATTTATCATTTCTTTTTTTTTTTTTTTGAGATGGAGTCTCCCTCCCAGGCAGGAGTGCAGTGGTACGATCTCAGCTCACTGCAAGCTCCGCCTCCCAGGTTCAAGCAATTGTCTGCCTCAGCCTCCTAAGTAGCTGTGATTACAGGTGTCCACCACCACACCCGGCTAATTTTTGTATTTTTAGTGGAGACGGGGTTTCACCATCTTGACCAGGATGGTCTTGAACTGCTGACCTTATGATCCACCCACCTCGGCCTCCCAAAGTGCTGGGATTATAGGCGTGAGCCACCGCGCGCGGCTGCATTTATCATTTCTATGTGTATGGAACATTTCAAGTCTTCTCTTATAGCTATTTTGAAATGTATAATACATTGTTGTTAACTATAGTTACTCTGTTCTGCTGTTGAACATTAGAACTTAATTCCCTTTTATTCCCCCTTTTTTCTTTTCTCTTTTTTTTTTTTGGAGACAGGAGCTTGCTCTGTTGCCTAGGCTGGAGTGCAGTGGCATGATCACAGCTCACTGCAGCCTCGAACTCCTGCCTCAGCCTCTCCAGTAGCTGGGACTACAGGCACACACCACCACGCCCGGCTAATTTTAAATTTTTTTTTTGAGATGGAGTCTCACTCTGTCACCCAGGCTGGAGTGCAATGGCATGATCTGGGCTCATGGCAACCTCCACCTCCTGGGTTTAAGTGATTCTCCTGCCTCAGCCTCCCAAGTAGCTGTGACTACAGGCGCACACCACCACGCACAGCTAATTTTTTCTCTATTTTTTGTAGAGGTGGGATTTTGTCATGTTGGCCAGACTGGTCTCGAACTCCTGGCCTCAAGTGATCCGCCCACCTCAGCCTCCCAAAGTGCTGGGATTACAGGTGTGAGCCACCGTACCTGGCCTACTTTTTAAGTTTTTTTTTTTACATAGAGAGGATTTTACTATGTTACCTAAGCTGGTCTCAAATTCCTAGGCTCAACTAATCCTCCCACCTGGGCCTCCCAAAATGTTGGGATTACAGGTCTAAGGCATTGTGCCTGGCCTATTCCTTCTAACTATTCTATCTTTGTACCCATTAACCAACCTCTCTTCATTGCCCTCCCCCCGCACCCACACACACATCCACATACACTTTCCAGCCTCTGGTATCAATCATTCTAGGAGAGTTGCCTCATCTGATACTCACTGGTTTGATAAACCAGTTTTCCTGAAAAAGAAACTGGGGTTCCAATGCCACTCTTTCCACAAACAACCAAGAGCCCTCCAGGCACTAACTTGCTCAGAGTTCTGGTACTACAGCTCGGGGTCCCCAAGATCAGTAGAACACAAGTCACATACCCTCCCTCCCTAGAGAAGGTGCTGTGAGGTGCGATGGGCCCCCAGGGCAGTAGCATTTCTGCAACTGTTGGGCATGTAGGTCTCTGCCCTCTTTTTTTTTTCCTTGAGACGTAGTCTTGCTCTGTCGCCCTGACTGGAGTGCAGTGGCGCAATCTAGGCTCACTGCAAGCTCCGCCTCCCGGGTTCACGCCATTCTTCTGCCTCAGCCTCCCGAGTAGCTGGGACTACAGGCGCCCGCCACCGTGCCCGGCTAATTTTTTGTATTTTTAGTAGAGATGGGGTTTCACCGTGTTAGCCAGGATGGTCTCGATTTCCTGACCTCGTGATCCGCCGGCCTTAGCCTCCCAAAGTGCTGGGATTACAGGCGTGAGCCATCGCGCCCCGCTGGTCTCTGCCCTTTCAACTACTAACCCTAAGGCCAGCCCTTCGGGCAGTGCCCCTGAACTTGGAGGCCAGAAAAAATCCTACTCACTCAAACACATGCTTGAACACCCTGACAGAATGGGTATATATTGGCCGGGCATGGTGGCTCACACCTATAATCCCAGCACTTTGGGAGGCCAAGGCAGGCGGATCACTTGAGCTCAGGAATTCAAGACCAGCCTGGCCAATGTGGTAAAACTCCGTCTCTACTAAAAACACAAAAATTAGCCAGGCATGGTGGGATGCGCCTGTAATCCCAGCTACTTAGGAGACTGAGGCAGGAGAATGACTTGAACCTGGGAGGCGGAGGTTGCAGTGACCTGAGATCACACCACTGCACTCTAGCCTGGGCGACACAGCGAGACTCTGTCTCAAAACGAAAGAAAACAAAACAAAAAAAGAATGAGGATATACTGCATGTGAGTATCTACAGCTAGCTATATAATGTTGTGGTATTTTTGGTGGGGTGCAGAAGGAAAATGAGGATGGGTGGTGGTTTATACAGTCTTGGAAATGACAAAGAACTACTTCAATCCAGTTTGATCTTATTTTGTCCTGAAAGGGTCTGGATGCTTTGAAAGGATGTAAAGTGAGAGGTAAGGGAGCAAAACCCAGGAAGAACAAGCGGGTGTCCAGGAAGACCCAGTGGGTTGGGAATGAAGGAGCTGGAGGAGGGAAGTGGTCAAGCACCTTGGAAGGAGGGGAGCATGGGAAGGGCACTGAGAACCCGGGGTCCAAAAATCCTCTTAGGTTTGGGGAAGGGAACTGAGGAGGAGGAGAGTGACAGAACAGAGGCCCCCTCCCGCCAGGAGGATATCAGGAATGAGTTATCAGGCAACATCTTTTGCTAGGTGGGAATAAAATAATCGAGATGCTCAGAGCTTTGAGCAAACAGCTCATAGTGGATAAAGGGCAGATCCAGGAGAAGTGCTTGGAGGCAGAAAGTGAGGGAAGGACGCAGACAGAGGCCAGGCACTGGCTGTGACTCCCAAGATGCAGCCAACCTCCCCCTATGCCTCCATCTTGACTACACTACAGCAGTCAGTCTTACCCACAGTGACAGAGACACACCTATGTCTACACAAGTAACTGACTTGGCCACGTCTGAGACAGGGTTTCTGGGACTCAAGTGTCACTCACACATTTGGGCCAAAGCTGTGAAAAGGGAAGCCATGGTCAGCATAACTTGGGAAGAGAACCAGGTAGTTAATTGGGTTGTACTAGACGGAAATTACATTGAAATCAGTCAATCAACTATCTATATGGAGAATATGAAAAACAAACTTCTGAAAATACGAAAGACACAACATCTGATAAAAAGAATTTAGCTTGTGGATAAGAGCAGGGCTTCTAGAAAATTGCCTTGACCATACTCCATAGCTACCGCCGTAGGATTCGGTTTCCTCATCTGTACAGCATAAAGGGACTGCTGTGAGAATTAAGTGAAATAATGCATGCGCAAAATTCTTTATACTGCACTTAATGTATAATGAAGGCTGGAAAAACAGAGCCTACTATTAATGACCACAGACCACTTCTTAAAAGTGAAGTGGGTCGGGCACCGTGGCTCACGCCTGTAATCCCAGCACTTTGGGAGTTCAAGACCAGCCTGGCCAACGTGGTGAAACCCCATCTCGACTGAAATTACAAAAATTAGCCAAGTGTGGTGGCGGGCACCTTGATCCCAGCTACTCGGGAGGCTGAGGCAGGAGAATCACTTGAACCCGGGAGGCGGAGGTTGCAGTGAGCTGAGATCGCGCCATTGCACTCCAGCCTGGGCAACAAGAGCAAAACTCTGTCTCAAAAAAATAAAAAGAAAAAGAAAAGTGAAGTGGAAAGTCCTTGGTTGAGGAGGGCGATGTGGCAGTGCAGAGCTCAGGTTTGGGAATCCTGGTTGGAATCTCTGCTGTTTTATCACAGCCAGAGGAAATACCAAGGGCTCTGAATAAGCCTCTCTGAGCCTCAGTTTCCCTTCCCATTCAGTGGAAATAAACACAGCACCTACATCTCACAGGGCTGTTGTGAGCACTGAAAGAGCCCAGGTATAGCAATCCCATGTTATCACTGATTCACCATGAACTGATGGAGCTTCTGCTGGAGGCCGGGCTCTGCATGAGACGTGGGGTGGTACAGAGAGTTACCGGGGTCCCAGAGTCCCTGTCTTGTCATTCAGACACAGTCAGGTCTTCAAGACTCACCAGGTCCCTCCTGAGGGAGGCTGGAGGGAGCTCCCCCTAGGAGCTGGGGGACAGACAGAGAAACACACAACAGGTCAGACGGTGACTGAACAGGGGCCACAGGGACAATCGGGCAGAGGCATGCAGGTGGTGGTGGCTCCTTGAAACAGGGTCCGAGAGGGCCTCTCTGAGGAGGTCCTTTGAGCTGGGATTTGAAGGACGAGAAGGAACAGTCAGGGGAAGGCCCGGGGTAGGCGCGGTCCAGGCAGAGAAAACAGCAGGAGCGAAGGCCCCAAAGCACTGGAGAAGTGGTTTGCACATAAACATTACTCACATGACACATTTTCCTTTCTAGAATGAACCAACATCAAACCACCCTGGAAACTTGTGCTTTCAGAGCAAGAGGCGGGTGGAGGACAGCAGAGGGCACCCACCTCGTCCTTGGCCAGAGTTTTCAGATGCTCTAGGATCTGAGCCATCACTGTCTCACAAAGCTTGTTGTTTTCCGCCAGGAACTTGGAGTCTCCCCCATAGAGGCTGTCGTTGGAGTCCACTGTTGAACAAACAAGAATGGTGAGACAGACCCAAGCCCCACGGCCATGCTGGCCAGGGAGAGGCAGCCGCGTGTCATGTCACACCGTGTCAGCAGATGGCAGGAAGTCGTGGCGGGGCAAATGGAAGTGGTGGAAATTTCCCACTGGGCTTGGGGCCTTGGGAATCACAAACGAAACACCCAGCCTGCAGGACAGTCTAAGCCAGTGGTGTGGAAGTCACCCCTCCAGCCTGTGTGTGCGTGGGGGGAAGCTGTGGGGTGGGGAGACATTAATAATGACAATGATCATCACAGCAGCTGCCAGGCACTGGGCTACGGCTTTAACTGCCTTATTGCAGAGCCCCCCACAACCAGTATGTGAAGAACTGGCTTTTTTTTTTTTTGAGATGGAGTCTCTCTCTCTCACCCAGGCTGGAGTGCAGTGGCACGATCTCGGCTCACTGCAATCTCTGCCTCAAGGCTCAAGCAGTCCTCCTGCCTCAGCCTCTCGAGTAGCTGGAATTATAGACACCTGCCAGCATGCCTGGCTATTTTTTTAATTTATTATTTTATTTTTAGTAGAGATGGTTTCATCATGCTGGTCAAGCTGGTCTCGAACTCCTGACCTCAAGTGATCCGCCTGCCTCGGCCTTCCAAAGTACTGAGATTACAGGTGTGAGCGACCAGCCCAGCCGAGAGATGATATTAATATCTCCCTTTTAGGGAGATGAGGCTTAGAGATGGTCCTAGCTAGCTAGGATCCTAAACCATGAAGTCTGATTCCAAAGCCCACACTCAGCTACCGCATCCAGCTGCCTGCCCTGTCACCCTCTCCTCAAAACTGGCTTTGGAAGGACTGCAGAGATTTTCTATTTCAACTACTCTAGAAGTGTAAATCCCTTTGATAATGTCTCTTGCCGAAAGCTCCTCCACTGTTTGCTTGGTCTTGTCCTGTGACAACCACTGCCTAGAGTAAGACAGGCCTAGCCAAGGACAGCCAGAGTTTGAGCTCCTCCTCCTTTCCTCCTCCTCCCCTCCTTCCTCCCCGCTCCTTCCTCTCAACTGACCTTCACACAGAGCATAATCTGGGCGACGAAACAGACACCACACTCTGTGCTGCTTTACACTTTGTTTTTTTAACTTAATGATAACTCTTGGGGTTGGGATCAGTGGCTCACACCTGTAATCCCAGCACTCTGGGAGGCTGAGGCAGGAGGATCACTTGAGTCCAGGAGTTTCAGACCAGCCTGAGGAACATAGCAAAACCCCATCTCTACAAAAAAAATATTAGCTGTGTTTGGTAGCTTACGCCTGTAGTCCCAGATACTTGGGAGGCTGAGGTGGGAGGATTCTTGAGCCCAGGAGTAGGTGGCTGCAATGAGCTATGATCACACAACTGCACTCTAATATGAGCAACAGAGCAAGATACTGTCTCAAAATAAATAAACAAAATAAAATAAATCTTCATGCTATTTCCATATCAGTGTACAACAGTCCCCCCTTATCCTTGGGGGATACGTTCCAAGACCCTCAGTGGGTGCCTGAAACCACACAGTATTGAATCCTATTTACATTATGCTTTTTCCTATATAGTAATGGGTAGGTAGTGTCGCATCAGTGTGGACAAGCTGGACAAAGGGATGACTGATATCCCAAGTGGGACGAAGTGAAATTTTATCACCCTATTCAGTACAGTGTGCAAATTAAAACTTACGAATTATTTCTGAGATTTTCCACTTAATATTTTTGGATCAGGTTGACTGTGGAGTAACTGAAACCACAGAAAATGAAACGGGCTGGGCACTGTGGCTCACACCTATAATCTGAGCATTTCGAGAGGCTGAGGCGGGTGGATCACTTGAGGTCAGGAGTTTGAGACCAGCCTGGCCAACATGACGAAACCTAGTCTCTACTAAAACTACAAAAAATTACCTGGGCGTGGTGGTGCAAGCCTGTAGTCCCAGATTCTTGGGAGGCTAAGGCAGGAGAATCGCTTTAACCCATGAGGCAGAAGTTGCAGTGAGCCAAGATCGAGCCACTGTACTCCAGCTTGGGTGACACAGCAAGACGTCTTGGGGGAAAAAAAAAAAGACCAAGCTCATGCCTGTGATCCCAGCACTTTGGGAGGCTGAGGCGGATGGATCACCAGGTAAAGAGATCGAGACCATCCTGGCCAACATGGTGAAACCCCATCTCTACTAAGAATACAAAAATTAGCTGGGCGTGCTGGCAGGCGCCTGTAGTCCCCACTACTGGCACGCTACTGCACTCCAGCCTGGCGACAGAGTGGGACTCCATCTCAAAAAAAAAAAAGAGACACCGGGTAAGGGGGCCCTACGTGTACAGCTCTGTTGCTTTGTTGTCATGGCTGCGTAGTATCCCACTGTATGATGGAACAGAATGTACTGAGTTGGTCCCTACTGTGAACACTTCAGTGGTTTCCTTCCTTCCTTTTTTTAGCTAGGGCCAGCCTGCTGCAAACCCTAGAGTTCACAACGAAACCACCAGCTCTGCCTACAGAGCCAGTTCTTTTCCTCCACGCCCACATGAGCTCACACACCTTTTCCACTGGATCCTCTTACAGCTGCTTTCATTCCAGTTACCAGACAGGGACTTGTATGTGGCCGAGCATAACTGGGTGTGAACAAGCAGCACTCTGTCCGGGGAGCCCAGTTCAGCATCTGAACCCCCAGGCTAAAGGGAGAGCTCTGGAGCCAACACAGCACTCAGTGGTCAGGAAGGGGGACGGGGCAGCAGCGGTGCTCACTGCTTCTCGCCTGGCACGGGCCTGCAATCTGAGTCACCGTCCCGAGTGTGTGGATATCTCATAAACCAAGAGCCATGCCTGTGCCTTGGGGTGTGGCTGTGTACACGCGGCCACATGTGCACAGAGCCAATCCAGTTTTGTGGTTTAGGGATGTCTTTAATAAAGCACATCCAGTTTAGCTTATCTGCTGGAATGTGATTTGTTGTGCTTTTCTTGCCCTATTGAAAGAACATTCATCACTGTCTTGAAACAAGTGGGAAGGATACTGCCTCAGACACACACAATCAAAAGAGACAATATTTATGAGAAACACAGTAGGGCCTGTGTACAAGTGAGGGACAAACAGCACGAGATGGCCAGGCACAGTGGCTCACGCCTATAATCCCAGCACTTTGGGAGGCCAAGGCAGGTAGATCACTTGAGCTCAGGAATTCGAGACGAGCCTAGGCAACATGGCAAAACCCTATCTCTACTAAAAATACAAAAATTAGCCGGATGTGGTGGTGTGTGCCTATAGTCCCAGGTACTCGGGAGGCTGAGGTGGGAGGATCACTTGAGCCCTGAAGGCAGATGCAGCAAGCAGAGATCATGGCACTGCACTGCAGGCAGGGCTACATTTTGTATTTTTATAGAGATGGGGTTTCTCCACGTTGGCCAGGCTGGTCTCAAACTCCCAAACTCAAGTGATCCTCCTGCCTTGGCCTCCCAAAGTGTTGGAATGACAGGCGTGAGCCACTGTGCCCGGCCATGAACACCTATTTCTTGAATCACCAATTGATAACATTTTGCTACTTTTGTGCAAGCTCTCTTTCTTGTTGTCTCTACAAGGATGGACAGACACGTTTTTTTTTTTTGGCTGAACCATTTGAAAGCAGGTTGCAGGCATATCGCCTAAGATCAAGGAGAAAACCTGGTTTCCTTTGTTCCCCCGCTTCTCTGGTCACAGGAATCTCTTATCCAATCTTTTAACTGCTCGTTTATGGGGACTCTGCTGGGATACTTCCCTGAGGTTTCCTTTGCGATTGCTTGTCTGACACCAGGTTGGGAGTTAATGGCCCTGGGTCGCAGGAGTCAATCTCAGAATTTCCAAGCTGGCTCTGGCTGCTGTGTCATGACTGTTACCTCCCCAGTGGGGGACGGCAGTTATTCTTTAAGAAGCAAGAAGAATTCAATTCAGCCATTCAACAGCACCTGATTGTGCAGGGCAGCAAACTGCAGCTGGCGAAGGACTTTCTCATGTCTGCTGCGAGGACCAGTATAGTTCCTGCATAAATTTATAGTTCCTGCATAAATTCCCAGTCTTCCTCCAGGAAGGTCCAACCACCCCGAGGGGCCAGAGGTGTGTTTGGAGCAGGCCACTCACACACACATACAACACCTACTGCATCAGGCCTGCTCCACGCCAGCTTCTAGGCTAGGAGCGGGAACCTAGTGGGGGACAAGGCTGAGCTGGTGCTACCCTCACAGACACAGAGCTCATAGTCTATAAGGAGCTACAGACACCCAAACAGGCAATTGCAGTAGTGTGCAGAACCATCTGAGACAGAGTCTCGCTGTGTCGCCCAGGCTGGAGTTCAGTGGCACAATCTTGGCTCACTACAACCTCCGCTTCCCAGGCTCAAGGAACGGGGGCAGTACAGGGGATCATGGGATCCTAAAATCTATGCTTGGGATAGGGTTCTGGAATCAGTGCGATCTAGACTGAGTCCTAAAGGTTGAATTCACTAGCAAAAGTGGGAAAAAGGGTGAGGAGGGAGAAATGAATTCTCTATGCTAACACCTGGTGGTCATAGAGGGAGAGAGAAAAAGGCGAATCTGAGAATTAAAAGGAATTTGGTCAGGTCAGAGTGTATTGTTGGCCTTCAAGTCCAGACACAGCTCTCACGAGGGGGAGAAAAGATGTCCCCTGCAAATGGCCACTAAAAATAGCCCACAATCTCTGCATCTGTCCCACCCTGAGTTGCAAACCCGAATGCTTTGAGGGCCTGGCAGGTGACGTGGAAGAGTGAGGAGGGCCGCCTTGGCTTCACAGAAGCATCCTGGGTTGTACTCTTCCAACGAACACACACACTGTCTGCACACTAAATCCATAAACACTGAGGATCCAGGACTGTTCTTCGCTCCTACATCAAACATGCACACTCTCTGGTAACCTCGTGTGAACGTACTGGAGGGATTGCTCCAGGCAGCGTCAGAGCCTTCTCTTTTTCTTAATCTGGGAAGAAAGTGGCCAAGGCATCCTCCAAAAATGCAGAAATTATTCAACCCCTCTTTTCCAAGTTCTTTTTTTTTTTTTTTTTTTTTTGAGACGGAGTCTCGCTCTGCCGCCCAGGCTGGAGTGCAGTGGCCGGATCTCAGCTCACTGCAAGCTCCGCCTCCCGGGTTCACGCCATTCTCCTGCCTCAGCCTCCCGAGTAGTTGGGACTACAGGCGCCCGCCACCGCGCCCGGCTAGTTTTTTGTATTTTTTAGTAGAGACGGGGTTTCACCGTGTTAGCCAGGATGGTCTCGATCTCCTGACCTCGTGATCCGCCCGTCTCGGCCTCCCAAAGTGCTGGGATTACAGGCTTGAGCCACCGCGCCCGGCTCTTTTCCAAGTTCTAAACTGTGTCAACATCGTCTCAAAGCCTCCCTACAATGAGGAAGCACACAGGGAAAAAGGAGCCCCCACAGCCTGCAGGGCCTCCATGCCTCCCTGGGTGTCCTGTCAAGACGCTGGGCAGGTCACAGTTGTGCATTCAAAGTAAACACAGCTGGACTGAGAAGAAGAAAAAGAAAATCCATCCTTCTGTTTTCATCTTCAAAAGCTAGAAAACTACACTCTTGCCTATCAAATATAGCCTCACTCCCTCTGCTGCCAATCTGGCTCTGGTAGTCTTTACTGGCGGGTTTATTCACAGAAAGGATGGACTGAATCTGTTTGAGGGAGAGGAAGGAGAGGAGAGAGCAGAGAGGGCAGGGCAAGCTCCTCCGACAGCCTCACTTCCAGGTCTCCATCTGGTCCTCAAAGCTTTCTCTCGTTGAAGTTCAGAGCCTTCAATGTGCACTTCACAAAAGAGGAAACAAAGATGCCAAGAAATACAGGGAAGGGTGTTCAACCTCGCCAGCCATGAGAGAAATGCAGACTCCACTCCTAGAACAGCTGACATGAAAAAGACTGACCACAGCAACTGAACAAATGGAAGCCTCATTCGTGCCTGGTGGGAATGTCAGTTGGTTTAACCCTTTGGGAAACTGTGAGGCAGTATCCACCAACGCAGAAGATAAGCAGATCCTATGAGCCAACCATGCCACCCCCACGCAGCCAGCCAGTGGGAATGTACACCAAGAAATACATGCAAGAATGTTCACAGCCACACTACTCATAACAGCCCCAAACTGCACATGCAAATTTCCATCCAGAAGGAATGAATCAATTTTGGTACATCCACACAAAGGAATACTATACAGCAATGCAAAAGGTGAACTACAGTTTTGCATACCAACACAGATGAATCTTGGACATCATGCTGAATTAAAGCAGCCAAATACCAAAGAACGCTTGCAAAATATTCCATTTACTTATTCAGAAAGTGGCAAACTAATTAATAAATGCTAGAAGTCAGGAGAGAGTGGTGTGTCTTCAGAGAGTAGGGTGGTGATGCTGACTGAAGGAGATGTTCTATTTCTTGATCTGGGCTGTGGCTACCTGGGAGTGTTCGCTTTGTGACAGTTCGCTGAGCTCTATAGTTTATTGCATATATGTTACATAATATGCTTTAATTAAAACACTGCTTTTTTTTTTTTTTGAGACGGAGTCTTACTCTGTCACCCAGGTTGGAGTTCAGTTGCACAGTATTGGCTCACTGCAGCCTCCCGAGCTCAAGTGAGTCTCCTGCGTCAGCCATCCAAGTAGCTGGGATTATAGGCGCTTGCCAACAGCCTGGCTAATTTTTTTGTATTAATTTTAGTAGACATGGGGTTTCGCCATGTTGGTCAGGCTAGCCTCGAACTCCTGACCTCAGGTGATCCGCCTGTGTCTGCCTCCCAAAGTGCTGGGATTATAGGCACGAGCCACTGTGCCCAGCCAACACTGTTATTTTGTAATCAACAAAGCAGTCTAATGCATGTCCCACGACTCTGGGTGTGAGTTTCACTTCCATCACTAACTACCAGAAGCCCTGGAGTAAATCACATTGTCTTTCTGGATCTCCTCTTGCTTATACATGAAATGGGAACATGAATGCCTGTCCTCATAGTAAAGCTGTAAGGATTCGGGGAAAAAGGCCTGTGGAGCCTGACGTAGTCCTTGGCACGCAGTAAGTGCTCAGATCAGGGTAGCCATCATCGTTCTTGCTATGAACCAGCCTCCCTAAGTTACATTTATCCTCCGTCCCCAGACCCAGCTAGAGAAAGCCTGAGAGGTATGACAGAAAGCTGGCCATCCCTTAAGCACTGCTAATGTGTTCACTGCAACTTGCAAGTGTAGAGACGGTTTTGTAAACCATAAAGTATACAATTACTGGCCAAAGCACTTTTGACATTAAGACCAATTTTTGGAATCCAAAAATTAGAACTGAGGGTCTGCCAGGCAGGAGGATACTTGGGCTCAGTGGGAAAAGGCCTGGAATTGGGATGTCCTGTGGTTAAGTCCAGGACATGAGGAGGCTGCTCCCAACTTCTAGTAGCAAGTTCAAAATGTCTGGTAGCAGGCGGGGGAGCAAGGCCACCTCCTCTTCCAGAACACCCAGATAAGGGCCGCTGAGCCTTGGCATCATCTGAGGAGCAGGTGGCAAACACCCACACCAGGGGCCTGCCTGAGACTGGTAAGGAACAGGCCTGGCATGAAGCTCATGCATGTGTATATTTAGCCATTGTTCCAGTTTATTGTGTAGCACACTGATCCAAAAGAGGGTTCCTCCGAAAAGAGAGCACTTAACACTCTGTCGGTGGAAATGCAAATTAGTTCAGCCAGTGTGGAAAGCAGTTTTGGAGATTTCTCAAAGAATTGGAAATAGAACTACCACTCGACCCAGCAATCCCATTACTGGGTATATATCCAAAGGAAAATAAATCATTCTACTGAAAAGACGCATGCACATGTATGTTCATTGCAGTACTATTCGCAACAGCAAAGACATAGAATCAACATAGATGCTCATCAGCAGTGGATTGGATAAAGGAAATGTGGTACATACACACAATGGAATACTATGCAGCCCTAAAAAAGAATGAAATCATGGCCTTTGTGGCAACATGGGTGCAACTGGAGGCCATTATTCTGCACTAAATGAACTAGTGCAGAAACAGAAAAACTACTGCCATGTTCTCACTTGTAAGTGGGCCCTAAGCACTGGGTCCCATGGGCATAAAGATGGAAAGAACAGACACTGGGGACTATTAGAGGGAGGAGGAAGGGGAAGGGACAAGGGCTGAAAAACTACCCATTGCGTACTATCTCATTTGCACCCCAAACCTCAGTGTTGCACAATATACCCGTCACAAACCTGCACGTATACCTCCTAAATCTAAAATACAAGTTGAAATTATTATTATTTTTTAAAGAGTGTCTCTCCAAACTGGTCTGATATTCAACATGATATCAGGTGCTTGTTAAAGATGCAAATTAAGAAGGAAAGGCCAGGTGTGGTGGCTCACGGTTATAATCCCAACATTTTGGGAGGCTGAGATGGGTAGATCGCTTGAGCCCAGCGTGAGTAACATGGTGAAACCCTGTCTTCACAAAAAATTTTTAAAAATTATCTGAGTGCAGTGGCACATGCCTGTAATCCCAGCTACTTGGGAAGCTGAGGTGGGAGGACTGCTTCAGCCTGGACTATCAAGGCTGCAGTGGGCTGAGATCACATCACTGCACTCCAGCCTGGGTGACAGACTGATACCTTGTCTCGGTCAATCAATCAATCAATCAAGGGCAGGATGGGGCTGAAGAATCTGTACTCCTTTTTTTTTCTTTTTTGAGATGGTGTTTTCACTCTTGTTGCCCAGGCTGGAGTGCAGTGGTGCAATCCTGGCTCACTGTAACCTCTGCCTCCCAGGTTCAAGTGATTCTTCTGCCTCAGTTTCCTGAGTAGCTGGAATTACAGGGGTGCACCATGATGCCTGGCTAATTTTTGTATTTTCGGTAGAAACGGGTTGTGGCTCTTTTGGCCAGGCTGGTCTCGAACTCTTGACCTCAGGTGATCCGCCCGCCTTGGCCTCCCAAAGTGCTGGCATTATAGGTGTGGGCTATTGCGCCTGGCCCAAGAATCTGTACTCTTAAGAGTTGCCCCAGGTAAGTCTTAGATCAGGTAAATACAGTGAGACCCTGGACTATAGGTCCATGGGAGCTAAAGTATAAGGGAGAAAACATAAAGAGAAAATGAAAGCATTCTGTCTGCCTTTCATGAAATCCGTGCGGAGCACGGTTTGGTGAGGGCGGCTCTGCTACCTTTGTCTATGTGGTAAAGGTATGTCTCCTGGCTCATGGCGGAGAGGAGATGCAGGACGCAGGTGTAGATGCGGATTTTCTCATCGCTGTTGTCCTCCCAAGTGTAGTCCTGGATCACGTTGAGAAGCTCTCGAACAAGAAATAGGACCCCATGTTCAGGATGATCCTAGTAGAGAACCAAAAAAAGGATCAACAATCCCAAAGATGAAGCAGGGAGGGAAAAAGAAAATCACACAGAAACCCAGATCCTCCCTCAGTAGCTGTGGAGAAATTGATGTTGTCAGTTACTGAACAAAGGCAAGACCCACTCACAAGCCTGGTTAAACAATATGGAGGAAAACGACAAAATGTGATTCCCACGAATCAAAACGCTCCTGTCTGGGCAAAAGAGCTTTGAGAGTCCCTTTCTGGATCCCAAGAAGGAGAAGGCAAAGTTACCTGTCAGCTTAATGGCCCGTTTCCAAAATTACACTCTTGTTTTCCCGTGGGTGGTGGCAGTAAAAAAAAAAAAAAAAAAGGAAGCCCTGTTCTAACCACAAAAGCAAGATTGCAGGTATCGTAGCAGACGGAACGGCAGAAGCCACCTAGGCTGGGTGAGCCCCCGGATGATCCCTGTCACCACTCGAGGCGGTGACTTTAAATAGAGCCTCACTCTTTGGGGTGCTCAGCAGCAGTAACAGCCAAATAGAGGACGCTCTCTTGGGAAAGGCAAAACCTGAGAGACAATCACAGTTTATAGCAAACGGTGTTTCTCAGATGCTAAACTGAATCTATAAAAAGTTTTGGGGTGTAAAAAAATAAGCAGCTTCAATTCCATTCCAAAAAGGTGCATGTGAGTCTGGGAAAGCCCCGCTGAAAGCTCTCCAGACTTCTCACTCCGTGCAGAAGCTCTGCACAGCCAGCCGCCTCCACGGCCTCGCTGGCCTGCCCCATGCAGGTCCCCTTCCCTTACCCCAGCCACGTTAAGGTAGGGAGAACAGCACGACTGGAACCCGCAGCAGCAGGGAGGACAGCACGACTGGAACCCGCAGCAGCAGGGAGGACAGCATGACTGGAACCCGCAGCGGCAGGAGGCCATCTAGTCCAAGATGTGGTCTTGGGTGCGGGAACAAAGCCATTGCCAAAACATGGCCCAACGAGCATGGGGGAGAAATACCCCAGCCTCGCCTTCCTCCTGCCCTGTGTCATGCTGCTGCCTCCTACTGGCTGAACAAATTGGGAGCCAGAGGAAGGATAGGTGAGGCAGTCCCCACAAGCCAGTCTCCCCCACACAGAGTAGGACAAAGGGCACAGAGTGGCACCAGGGGCCGGCACACACGTCCAGGTTCTGGCCTCCAGCCAGGCACGTTCTCTCTGCCTAGAGTCTGTGCCCCAGGGCTTGGCCAGACTGGCTCCCTGGTAGCCTGCAGTTCTCATCTTACACATTAGCTCCTTAATGAGGCCTTCCCTGACGTTCCATCTGCAGCTGTCTTACTCTCTCTTCATCACAAATCATCCTTTTTTTAGGGGGTGGGGGTGGTTCTGAGACAGGGTCTCACTCTGTCACCCCGGCTGCAGTACAGTGGCATGATCACAGCTCACTGCAGCCTTCACTTTCTGAGCTCAAGCCATCTTCCTCCCACCTCAGCCTCCTGAGGAGCTGGGACTACAGGTACATACCACCACGCCTGGCAAATTTCTGTGTGAACTTCTGTATTTTTTGTAGAGATGAGGTCTTGCCATGTTGCCCAGGCTGATCTCAAGCTCCTGGGCTCAAGCAATCCACCTGCCTCAGCCTCCTGAAGTGCTGGGATTAAAGGTGTGAGTCACCGCGCCCAGCCTCTGTCTTGATTTTTACAGAGCACTTCTCACTATCTGAAATGACCTTATGTATTCCTTCAGTGACCTGCCCAACAATATCTCGTGGTTTTCCTGGTTCTCTCTGTTTCATGCTAGCCTATAACCTCCAGGAGGGCAGGCACGTCATCTATTGCATTTGCAAATACACCGCCAGGTCTGCTGGTTGCACACCGTATTCTGTTAATGGCGCCTCCAGGAACTCAGTGCGGATGGTGTCCCTGATGACATTCAGTCCAGCCCTGTCTCCGGCTCCTGGGACAGTGCTGGACACTGACATGCATTGGGTGAATACTGTTGAATGGACTGCAGTTTTTGGGTACCTTCTATGTGTCAGGCACTGCAGTGGCTACGAAAACAAAAACAGTTAACATTTATAGCACCTACCATAGCTTTTCTATGTTCCGGGGTGATACTATGATGAAGCCCCATTTCACAGATGGGAAATGAGCCACTGAGAGGCTAAGTGGCCCGAAGTCACACAGTTGGTACATGGGGCACCCAAGGTTCAAGCCCCAGCAGTTTGGCTCCAGAGTGGACATTTCTAACTACTGGTACCATATTCGCACTGCCTCTCTGCAGATAAACCAAGCATCTCTGAATTTATAGAACTTGTGAACTGAGGGGAGGCATAGATGTAGTCAGCTACTTAGAATACAAGTATGGAGTATGAGAACAGCATTGCCATTATATCCAACGTGAATGTGTGTACATATTGCAGTCATACTTTCAAGTGGGTGAGGACAATTGTGGAGGGGTGTGGGATGTTTTGTACAAGCTGTAAATATCTGTGAGAATTGCTCTTAGCCTGGGCTAGATAGCGGTGGCTCATGCCTGTAATCCTAGCACTTCAGGAGGCTGAAATGGGTGGATCACTTGAGGTCAGGAGTTTGAGACCAGCCTGGCCAATATGGCGAAACCCCGTCTCTACTAAAAATACAAAAATTAGCCAGGTGTGGTGGTGCGCACCAGTAATCCCAGCTACTCAGGAGGCTGAGGCAGGAGAATTGCTTGAACCCAGGAATGGGGGATGAGTGAGCAGAGATCGCACTACTGCACTCCAGCCTGGGTGACAGAGCAAGACTCTGTCTCCAAAAAAAAAAAAAAAAAGATTGTTCTTAACCTGAGCAACAACATAACAAATATTGTTTCTACAAAAAAAAAAAAAAATTTGCCACGTGTGGTGGTGTGCGCCTGTGGTCTTAGCTACAGAGAGCTGTGATGGCACCATTGCACTCCAGCCTGGGTGATGGAGTGAGAGAGTCTTACAAAAAGAAAAAAAGAATTGCTCTTGTGATACTGGCAAGAATGAGAATACAAGATGCTCAAAAGTCTGACATCCACAAACTACACATATCAAAATTGCCCATGCCATGATCTGCCTTCTACTCAGAGCTGGTTTCAGCTGGGAACTTCACCCTGCCTTCTTTTGCTAACAGCTGTTTTTAACTAGGCTATTCGGTTCTGCTATGTGGCTGTCCAAAAATATATTTTATTTAAGGATCTGCCTTGGGAATAGACAACAATCTGAATGTTCTAGCAACTTCATTTTAACACAAATGCACAAATCTTGTGGCGGACCATGCTACACACTGTCAAAAAGGTGGTACAAGGACCAGTGGAGATGTAAAGGTTTGTAGTGAATCATTTCCATGAGCTTTTGCTCACAACTGAAGAGGTGGGAGACTATTTCCTACCTTCTATACAAGGAAAAAGTTTCCCATGTGACATCCATGCTTCAGTGGTTGTAACTTTTTTTTTTTATATATATAAATTGTACTGATGGGCTGGGCACAGTGGCTCAAGTGTGTAATCTCAGCACCTTGGGAGGCCGAGGCGGGTGGACTGCTTGAGGTCAGGAGTTTGAGACCAGCCTGGCCAACATGGTGAAACCCCATCTCTACTAAAAATACAAAAATTAGCTGGGCATGGTGGCACGCACCTGTAATCCCAGCTACTCGGGAGGCTGAGGCAGGAGAATTGCTTGAACCTGGAAGGCAGAGGTTGCAGTGCCGAAATTGCGCCACTGCACTCCAGCCTGGGCGACAGAGCGAGACTCCTCTCAAAAAAAAAAAAAAAAAAAAAAATTGTACTGATGGTTCAGTGCCAACAGCTGAAGTAAGGCAGGCATAGAATGTTTTTTTTTTTTTTTAAGATGAAGAAAACGGTTCTGGATTCAGATGGCGCTTCCAGTGGGAAAAGGTGTCCCCAGGTGTCCCTGGCAGGGCTGCCTCCCAAGTGGAACAAACAAATGCTGACAAAGTGGCTCCCAGGCAGCACCTGGCAGGGGCTCAGACGTCTCTCCCTGCTGGCCCAGCACCTACCATATCAGCAATATCCCTCTGGGTTTCTAGTCTGCAGGAATCCTTCTACTAAATCCCTTTTACTTTGGGAGAAAAAGTATTAGGTTGGTGTAGAAGTAATTACTTTCTATGGCAAAACCCACAATTACTTTTGCACCAATCTAATAATACCCTAGAAGTAACTAACTCTTCCTAGGAGAACCAAGATGAGAGGCAGTGAGCATGGCGGCTGGGCAGACACCCTGGCCTTGGACCCTGGCTCGTCACTTACCAGCTGCTGGCCCTTCATCTCTCTGCACCCCAGTTTCCACTTCTACGAAACGAGGGTGATAATAACAGGCTTGTTTTGAGTGAATATTTGTGAAATGTTGGCTGGTCCGTGGTTATGAGGTTGGTTAAGTAATCATAAAGCCCTTCAGAAAAGGAACCAGAACACAGGTAAGCTCTTATATTCTTCCAAAAGGAAGAACAGGAAAAAGAAAGAAAGGGCACTGGGGCAAACAGAGATAGTGGGAGGGCAGGGAAGGAGGAGGGGAGACAGATCACCACTTGGCGGGAGGCTCTCAGGCACCGGCTTGCTGTTTCTCTCAGTCCTGTCTGTCTCACCAGCTCCTCGGGCATCCCCTGTGCCCTCCCGATGTGCCAGTCACTCTGGCTCTCTTCCAGTCCCTCTGGCTCTCTTCCAGTCCCTCTGGGGCACAGTGCTGCTTCCCACCTCCCACCTCTATTCTCACCCATGCTGTGCCCTTGGCCCAGAATGCCCTCTCCTCTCCCCATCTGCACCTAGCTGACTACTTACGAGTCATCCTTCGGATCACAGTTCACATGGCACTTTCTTAGGGATCTCTCCTGATTATCTGACCCCCTCCCCCAAATCTGGAGCTCTGAGAGGTCTCTATGGTTCATTAAAAAACTTTTTCTTGCTGGATGCAGTGGCTCATGCCTGTAATTCCAGCACTCTGGGAGGCTGAGGTGGGTGGATCACGCGATCAGGAGTTGGAGACCAGCCTGGCCAAGATGGTGAAAC